TTCTGGTCACTACACTCCCTTGAGCAATTCTTGCACCACCACCCAGAATCCTGTCCCCCAGTTTTAGAACCACTGGTATTACATAAGTATTGGACTCTTTCCCTATATATTTACTAGAGACATAAATGTCTATAATAAGATTTTCTGCATATTAGAGTTACACAGATTATAAACTGTCAGTACTTAACATAACCTTCAAATAATTTTTTTGTGTGTTTTCTTTTAGTATCGAAAATGAAAACGCTGAACGAATTACTTTAAAGTCTTGTAGCATTGAAATATCACTTCCAAAATAGGGATGAAGTCATACAAGTGAAACATGAATAGACAGCACACTATGACAAATTATTTAGGTATTTTAATTATCTTTATCATCTGAGGTATAATATGATGTACAGCTTTTACAACTGCATTGAATCATGTTGACTTGGGTCCCCTTGTCTCCTGTCTTTGTACTCAGCTAAATTTTAGCCACAATGGCTCATCTGTCATTTCTTGAATGACATTTGAAAATGTGGCTTATAATGGGACTTGCAGAGAGAGAGAGATCTTAGCTGTCTACTGGTCCTGTGATAGACACTACAGAACTGAAAGGAGACTGACAGATATTCTGCCAACATAACTGGCATAGCATGACTTCATTCATGACATTGTTGGGTAGAAACAGAAATCAAGAATGAAGAACAAATACACTATTAGATCCAAACTAAAACTTGGAAAAATACTTTTTAAAAAATTCCCAGCCAGTAACTCCCTTTATCTGTATCTTTTCTTTAAACCAAATATTGAAAGGATATAATAAAGTGGCCTCTTAGTATCCACTGTGGTTTGGTTCCAGGACTCCTCATGGATACCAAAACCTGTGGATGCTCACATCCCATTGTATACAACAAGGTAGTAAAATAGGTAAAATAGTAAAATTCCCAGTCGTATATAAAATGGCAAAATCAAGATTTGCTTTTTGTAATTTTAAATATATGTATTTTAAAGCCAAGGATGGTTGAATCTGTGGATACAGAATCTATGGATATGGAGGGTCATCTCTACAAAGATCTAATGGAATTGTAATTTAGCTATTATGGTTTCTAGATGTAAGGTGGTAATGTGGTTTCTGCAGTTTCAGAGACAAGAGCACAAACCTATGGATTCAAAATGAAAGAAAATAGATTATACCTAAACATTAGGAAGAACTTCCTGATGGTAAAAACTGTATGATAGTAGCTTGGATTGTCTTGGGAAGGGGTGGACTCTCCTTCAATACAGATCTTTAAACAGAGGTCAGATTACCATTTGGAGGAATGTTTTCACTGTGTATTCATGCATGGCAGGAAATTGGACTACATGGCCCTTGGGATCCCTTCTACCATATTTTCCAGTGTATAAGATGATTTTTTAGCCCCGGAAAATCTTCTCAAAAGTCGGGGGTCATCTTATACACCGGGAAGAGAAGAAGGCCAGACAAGAGGACCCCCCCCCTCAGCCCAGCCATCATTTTGTCTCCCTCCTCCTCCCCCTCAACACACTCACTGCACTGGGCAAGACCCTCAGGAAGATCAGGGAGGAGGAGGAGGAGGCGGCA